AAGGGTCTTGGCCAAGTACTGCCACTACCTTGTCCATGTCACAGTCCCTCCACTGAGACTATCTCAGTCAGTTAAAAGTTGAACTGACATCCATGGCATATCCTGCAAAGAAACAACATAATATCTTTGAGATTTTTATGATGTTTTTTGTTCATGGTATCAAAAGTTACAAGTGGGAGTCTATAGCAAGACTGGTTCTTTTCATACCAGCTTCCTATTCACAAACCACAAGAAGTGTCACGTGAGCTGCAAATCAGCATCATTTTCTTGAATCCAATTACTTCATAAATAAAGAGCCAAACTGAATTATTGTACAGATTTTCACTGCAGCAGTCCCACAGGAAATAACTCTCAGATTCTGTTTAGCCCAAAGGAAATTAATGAAAAATTTCCATACATGTTTCTTACCCCTATGGAAATATGTCCCAGATGAAATGATAGGGGTGACTTATTGGCACAAATAAATCTAAGAAAACAGATTTTCATCACATTTTTGTGACTGTTCCCTCATGTCTGATGCTTACTCCACCTTATTCCTTCATCGAAAACACTGTATCCAAGATCAATTTGTGGATTTCATGCAGGCCAAACAAAACATCTGCTGTATTACAAATGCACATAAAACAGAAGACAGAAATAATTAAGAAATAGAAACCCTGCATGATGACTGCATGCATGATATCTTTGTACATCTCATTAGACCCTCATTTATGGCACCAGCATCATTTGTATGCAGTTCTCATAAATTTGTTTTAAGTTCTTGTGTGACAGCAATATTTATCTATAAAAAAAAAAGATTATAAAATAACTGAAGGATTATTATCAATAAAAAAGTTCTTCATATGATGTGATTCATTACTTAAGAGCCATGTGTGGACATGATTCCATCTCAGTAGTATGATGCCTTTATTTCCTTATATAATTAGGGACATGCTAAGCTTCTCCTGATTGATTTCTATGGTTCAGTACAATGTATATCTGAGGCAGGACTGGGGAGTGTATAAAGTGAAATGTGTAATACAGTAGAGCACATCAGTGCTGTCTGGCATTGCTAGTGGCATCATTGAAAACCAGAAGGGGATCCAGAAATATTTTCTGAGTCTTCCAAATTATCTTTGTTGATCCATTCTCCATTTTTGACCGTCTTCAGACAGAAAAAATGAGATGCTGATCAATGTAAACTTGAAAAATTCTGACCATTTTCTGGGAGACCCAGAAGATGGCCTCTATCCACTCCTGACAAGCATAAAACACCCAAATATCATTGTAGATGTGGAGAGAAGGTCCTTTCTAAGCAGTTAATTGATATCTAAAAATGTGCATAAAATATCTTCGCTTTAAAATTTCAAGGGAAAAATTTTTTTCTTTTTCTTTTTAACATGACAAAATATAGCATAAAAACAATGTGATGTGCTATCTCTGACTGCATCCTATTCAATATGGTAACGTCCCATTATTTCTGAGCTCAACTGTATATATTCTAACATTGCATGTACAGATCGAGTTTGGCCCAGGTTCGATTTCAAATTTTTCTAAAAAAATAATTATAAACAAAGAGTTGAGCTTGCCAGAGTTATTTTTTTAATGCATTCACTTGCAAACATGCAGGTTCAAAAAGAGTTTAACAAAATAGATCAAATGTCATATACACTCATCATAGAGGTCATCTGGTACACCCAAAAGTTTGGACACATGTTGAATCTCTCAGTCACTAAAACAAACAATTTTCACATGAGATAATGCCAGTCACATGGCTGTTATTTAAGATTCTAAAAGCAACAATAAGCCTCCCTCAAACAAATATGCCGATCACTCACCAAAACTGCAAAACATAACCCTAATAATTTTCAGTTCACAGAAGACTTTCAGTGAACACATTTTTCATCTGCCTTCTCTGTAAAAACAGCTTCATATCTCTGATGACACTGCTTTAGTGAGTGTAATCTAATTTCATGTGTCAAGCATACTTAAACACCACTGAGCCAGTGATTTGTACCCAATTTGAGCCAAAGCAGTATCCTCAGTTCTGATCCTTGAGTTATTCAAGCATTTCCCACAGGATACATGTACACAACACCACTGAATTCACAACGGTCCAGGGAAAATAAAAACTGATAATATTCTTCTTGTTGGTCATCAAGAGTCTGAAGAGTTCCTGGACCAGACACTGCCTGCTAATGATCAGGGCTACCTGTTCAAGGAACCGGTCAAGCAATAGACGGTCAGCTTGTCAAATGTCTGGCAATGTTTTACATGGCCACATCTCTAATATAAGTTGCAATTTCTCACTGCTAGCAACCTGTCTGAACCTTACCCAGTCCTGCTGTGATCTCATCAATACTGAACATGTGTGGACAAATATTGACATCCTGGGCAGGAGAGCAATGATTATATCACAAATGTCTTGCTGTTGCTGGAAGGCTGGGTCCCACATACAGTTATACTATATACTACGTACATGTGTTGGGTGCTTTGAGTGAGAGTGGTGAGGCCTTTTTTCATAGATATGTCTGGATACATCTATAAAAAAAACTTCCATGAATGATTTCATTGTCACCAAAACTTTAAAGGTACATATGAATCGAGCATCGTTGGAGCGTGGATTCCCAGTAACACATGTAGTCATTTGGTCAGTTTTTGTGGCAAAAAATTGACTTTGTATGCATCTTTAAGCAATACCAACAAAGTTATACTGGTGTCAAACATAGCAGGTAAATATGCATGCATGTCATGTAAATATGCATGCATGTCATGTAAATCCATTCTACCAACTGTTTCAATAGGTTCAGGCAGGAATAGAAATTAATTTACCTGAGTCTTGTGACTTGAAAAATTCAAGACGTGTCATTGAAATATATACAGCTTGTAAAGCACCTTTTCCTTAATCTTGAATTGTTGAAATAAATTTCCAATGCATTGGATATGTCATAGTGATAGATTTTTATCTTTTTTAGATTCAATTAAATATTATATAACAGGACATTTTAAAGTAAAATAGATCAAACATAGATAGACGACAGGATGTTGACTAGATGGGGACAGTGGACAGGAAAAGGGATGTACAGTAGTGTGGCCAGGATAACATATGTAAGATGCTTCCTGTCAGGAGGTATGGGGACCTCTAGGGGACCCCTAAATCAGGATAGGCATGTCCTTAGCTTGATACTAACCAATAGATTTAAAAATAAAAGTAGGTCACAGTGATTTGTACTTGGGATAAGATAGTATTTAAGAAGAAAATAGACAAGTTGGGAGAAAATACACAAAGGATTCTTCAGCTGCAATAAAAAAGATTACCACAAGGAAAAAACATTGTGTATGCTAAGATAATGTATAAGCTGCAGCACAGCATGCTGTAAAAAATAAAATCCTGAATAAATCACTATTGACATTTTACATGGTTAAAAGCTTGGGCATGGCTCAAAAGCTTCAAAAGCTTCTAGACTTAGATGCCCTGCAACAACACTGGGCTTGAACTAGTCAATAAGAATTAGAGAAATCCTCCTTATTCAAAACACAAGATTTATCAAATGAGGCACTAACACAACATTATTTCTTGGACTTATATCAATCCTGAATATATATCTTCAATTTTATAATTGCCAGAGTTGTGAACTATAATTGGATGTGGTAGTGGTAGTGGTCCAGTGGCAGTGACAGAGGATAATGTCAGCATGTTCAGATTTCAAAATAATCCTCAGACGTTTAGATTGATTATACTAGAATCACATAGATATGCATGTGGCTCACTGTAGTGTCAGAAGGAATTCCTGTAATTGCTCTCGTCTTATTTTAATTGCTTCAGTTGCTCTTATCTAACTTTAACATAATTTATAGTCCCAAGGTCTCAGGGGCGTAACCAGACCTTTAAAAATTGTACGCACAGATTTTTTAAATTCCCAGCAAAATGTAGACTAACGCAAGAGATGAAGGGCAGCGTAATTACAGCATATGTACCACACATCGCAGCTTAATTTCCATTAATAATAAAATCATCATTTAGTCAGAAATATTCTCGCAATTAAAAAAGTTTCAATATTCTTATTACCCAGAACGGTATATTTATTTAAAAGGAGGCTAGCTTCGCATATGTGGAACCCCCTTCGAATAATCCTGGATCCACCTCTGAGTTGAACTAACATACGGTTTCATTCACCTTACATGTGGATGCATGGCTCCCAAAAACAACCAATTGTACGACACGACACGACATCTAAGTTTAATAATTTGTTTGTAAAAATTGCCCATGTAACCCTGTTAGTTTGGAGGGGTAATTAAGCTGGGTCAAGTCCGTGTCAAAATTCTTTGAAGCTTTGCAGGAAAAATTCTACCTTTGTTTCTCTAGCTCCTTCTTGAACCTGGTGTCCAGATTTTATCTAGTGCGCCCAGGGTTGCGGGAGCTGCTCCTTGAAAATAACACTCAGGCAGATTTTTACCTGAGATAAATATCGCCAGCGAGAATGCGTTCGATATTCTCAAGAAAGAGGGTACAGAAGAGTTGAGGGCCAATGAACCCTCCAATTAAGAGGTAAAGGAAGTTTCAGTTAGATGGACGATTAAGATAGGACTTGTTAAAGTTACAGGCATTGTTTACCTCAGTTTTCAAAGTTTACAAGGCGGGGGTGGGGGGGGGGGTTAGAACAATTGTGCCTATACAATTGATACAGAGGATTTGTACATACAGGTGACTTTAATAAGCAGAGGATTTTCTTTTATATTTCGTGAAAAATACACTAAATTTATATAAAATAATATCATGGTTGGCCAAAAAATTGTATGCACAGTGTATCCGTGCCTATGCCTAGTTACACCCATGGGTCTGTCATGTTGATGTATTAATGGTAAAAGCAGGCAATGTCCTGCGAATAAAGGGAGTTTTGATTTTGTACCTAAGCTGTGTCAGTGTGTTGCTTTTCTCTCTGGGAAAAACCCAAGACATGAATCGGGAGCCAAATCTAAAATCTTCTATTCTTTAGTCGGATCAGAACTCCTTAGAGTAAAATATGCCCCTCGGTATTTTTAAAAAGTACAAGCAATGGAACATACATAAACATATTTTTGTTCATATAAGCTCCTAAAAAGAAACTCCCAAGATGGATGTGGTGTAAGATTGTGAAGGTATAAAAAGGGTACGGAGAATTGGAAGGGATCAACGTAGACGTAAATCTTACCTGATCAAATTGATTACACGACAGGAAATACTCACATTTATATACGGCTTGTTTCTTTCTTTTCCAACTTGAATGCTTCAATGCAGATTCATAACCTGATGAATTTTGAATGCAGTCAGTGCCTGCAGATTAATGAAAAAGTTATGTTCTTGTATTTTTTCTGCTTCTCATATTTTGTTGTACGTGTTATTCTCTGAATCAGTCGCTTGATACTGCGGGATGTCGTTAGGCCTGGAGCTCTCTCTCTCTCCATACTAGGATATACATGTATATATTTATTTATGTATATGAAGAATCCATTACAAATTATGATGATTTGCTTAGAACAAAATGTGTTGCAGTATTGGAGAAAATTACCCCTATATGTATATATTGCCCGTGTATATATGCTTTACGTAAAATAACTGGATTTTGTGCAATGTTTTAGCATCTGTCCGTATCATTAGTGATGCCCCAAGAACCAAGGCTATACAAATTTAGTGAAATTTGTAAATGTAAACCTGAGACTGCACAGTTAACTATCCTTCAATATTACCCTAGGTTAATTATAAGCAACGTTTATAGAAGACAACTGTCTCTATATCATGAACCTTCAGCATTGTGAAGCCTAGCACTCACCAAGCACACCTGTTGCTGAACAACTGCCAAGACAGAATAACAATAAATATATCAGATCTAAATGTGGAAGTAATCCTTCTTGTTCACCACTATGACATACGACTCAAAAACTCCAATTAGCATATCAGATTTCATATTGTATGTGCTTTTGTGGTCCTCTACTATTCAACATCTTTTAACTCCCATGTCTAATGCAACAAAGAACACTTAGCTCTTCCAAAATCAAAATTGTCAAATAAAGTACACAAAACCATTAGATGACACTGATCAGCAACTCAGATAAGAAACAAGTTTCAACAAAATCCCTAACTGGTGCAGAACTGGTCTTATAATTGTACAGCCACACCCACAATTGTCACCTAAGCAAATGCAAGGAAATACATAACAAAGCCACATATATACATCTGCACGTCTACGATAATGGGTGACAACGCAGGCCCGTAGCTAGGGGGGGTTCGGGGGGTTCGAAAGAACCGCCCCTTTTGCTGGGAAAAAGTCCACTCTGGGTAAAATTTGATCTAGTTACATGAAGTTTTTATGGGAAAAGGTCCACTTTTTCAGAAAAAGAACCCCCCTTTTGAAATTGCTGGCTACGGGCCTGCAACAATTGGTTATCATCTTTGAAAGTCTGACAAAATATTCCAATGTGTTGGATTACGATGGGGAAAGGGATGGATTTGTCTCAATATAACAAACAATTTTGTGTGTCCAAACATTGTGGTGTATTTTAAAACTTTTTTTTTGCTGAAAATAACACTAAAACAGCGCTTAAATCTGGGACACAGACATACCCGTCTGTTTTGCAGATGTGCATTATGGAAAAAAAGCTCAGAAAAATATTGTTATGTTTTTGGTTGTCTCAGGAATCCTTTACGGCAATGTAACACACTAGAGAAAAAAAATTGCACTTAGTGGTCAATTTTGATGGGCAAAGAAAACAGCTTGCTGTGCATTACTATTGTTTCTGTTTTCAACTAAGTACAAAGTATTATCTTCAATAAATGTTATCTATACAAATCGTTCAATTTTGGGATTTAAATACCTGAAATACACACTGTTTTTCATAAAACAACAGACACACACACACACACAAATTTATATTTATATATATATGTTTACCAATATATATATATATATATATATATATATATATATATATATATATATATATATATATATATATAT